TAGAACTCATGCTGCAGTGCTGTAGATAGCTTCATAGTGCTGAGACTTTAACCCCTGCACCACCAGGGAGACCCTCAAATACATACTTCTTGTAAGTCACACTATCTTGCTTATATAAATAGAATCATTCAGTGTCTTTACGACTGGCTTATTCCATGCACAGAGTCTTCAAGGTTCACCTGTGTTATAACACGCTGCAGAATCTCTTTCCTTCTTAAAGCTGAATAATGTCCCATTATCTGTGTGTACCACATTTATCCATTGAAAGACATTTATCCATTTGCGTTTTGGCTATTGTGAATAATGCTCCTATGGACATGGGTACACAGATGTCTCTAGCTCTTGCTTTCAGTTCTTTTGGTGATCAAACCATGAGTGGACTTGAGAGGTCACCCAGAGACTTTTAAATCAAGGAGCACCACCCCACATGCAGAACTAACAGCAGGTTATAGGAGTGGAGTAATGTATTCAGTGGGTAGTTTGAGTCTTGGCTCATTGCTGTCAGTGGGCAACATAGGGGCATTTTCTTGGAGCAGATTTGCTAAGATTCATTCCTCCGTTTGTGGCAGTAACACCGCCTTTAAGTGTCTCATCCAGCTTCTTACTTCGTTGGGTCTCAATGGCAGGAGGATACCAGCGCCTCCGTCTGGCGCTGCTGCTTTCTGTCGCCGCCTCTGCTCCTCACCACCCAGCCACACTGACACTGACTCAGGCAGGCCCCCACCCACCCCGTTGTGCCACCAGAGAGGGCCCCCCTTGCAGTAATCTAAACTCCGTGTGATGTGGCCTGGGGTTGGCCAGTGGAGCGGAGCGGAGATGAGGGATTTGAGATCCATTTTGAGGGGAGGTTGGAGAATCTCCAGGTGCACACAGGTGCAGGCACCCCCCACCCCTTCCTTCTGACCAAGTGTAGTACACATTCTGGTCAGCAGGTGGCACCATTGACCGCTTGCTTGGCACGGTTTTCTGGTGCTGTCCTGCAGGTGGGATCTGGAATTGCAACCCAAACTTTGCCTGGACCTCCAAGGCTCCCTGGGCCTGGGGGTCTGGCATCTGACAACAGATGGTGAGCTGTTCAGGTGGTTGGAGCCAGCAACGAATCTGACTGAGGAGCCAGGAGCTGCGGTGGGGTGGAGGGGACCTCTGCTTCTGGCTTCACCCCTCTTCGTTCACTTGAGCCACCGACACGTGGTGAAGCCATGGCCGTCTCCCACCTGAATTGCTTGCAATGGCCCTGTGGCGACCCCCTCAGACCTCCCATCTCCTTCTCCGAGCAGCAGCCATTGCAGACGAGGTTGCTTCCATTTACCTCCTGCAAAAATCCCCTGCTTGTCACCTGCAGGACTTGCCGTCATTCGTAAGCACACATCTCCCTGTCTGTGCGCTTACTCGCTCCTGCTGTACTCCTCTGGAACGGGAGCTCGGTGAGACAGGGGTGCCTTATCTCAGCCCCTGGTAATCTGGAAGGCTTCGGAGGCAGCAAATGTTTCTTGGATGAATGAATCCATCTGAAATAATTTCAAGTGATTTTTTTTTTAATGATCACTCTTCCAGAAGATTTCTCTGCACATATATGCATGGAGAGAGATCTGTCTTGTTTGACAATAAATGACTTACATGTCTTTGATACGTTCTTCCTGAAGTTTCAACATTTAGGGGAGTCCTGATTGTGGGGTGGAGAGCAGATTGTGGGGGAGCGAGACTGAAGGCTGATACAGAAGTGAAGGGGGCCTGGACTCAGTGGAGGCTGGGGCTGGAGGGGAAGTGGGCAAAGAGGATTTGGGGCCTGGCGGGATCAGGAGAGTGCAGGAGAGGAAGCCACCGTGATACCCTGAAAACTAGCTTTGGGCCCCTTGGAGTGGCGGAGGAGCCAGTTCAGGGACAAGTTCAACGGGAGCATGCTGTGTGCAGGGCTAGGGGCTACAGTCGGGTCTTTGAGCTGGTTTTGCTCTTTTAAAGATTTATTTATTGGTGCACACAAGAGCTGTGCTGCAGGCCAGAAGTGTGGGGGAGGGGAGAGGCTTACCAGAGACAGAGTGGGGGCAGAACAGGCGGATCTACTGAAATACACTGCTGAGGGGAGCAGCAGGTGAGACAGGAGAGGTCTGCTGGCCATGTGAGGCAGCCCCCTGGCCGGGGATTGAACTTGTGCTGCAGTGGCTGCCGACAGCTTCATAGTGTTGAGACTCTAATCCCTGTGCTATCAGGGAGGCCCTGAGCTGTTTTTTTTTTTTAAAAAGATTTATTTATTTATGCATAGAGAGCTGGGGTACAGGCCAGAGGTGCAGGGGCGGTGAGAGGCTTCACCCGAGACTGAGTGGGGACCAGAACAGGCTAACAGATGAAGTGCACTGCTGAGGGGAGCAGCGGGCGGGCCAGGAGAGGTCTGCCACGCCATGTGGGTCATCTCTGGGGCGGGCGGGGATCAAGCTCATGCCACAGTGGCTTTAGCTTCGCAGAGCTGTGCTTCAACCCGCTGCGCCACTGGGGAGGGCCCTGAGTCTGGGCAGGAGCTGGCAGGGAGGATGCATGGATAAGAGGGCACAGCGTGCACACGGGCAGAGTTTCCAGGGAGGTGTCGGTCTGACTTTCCTGGGTAGCCTGACCACCAAGGGCAGCCGGCCTGCCGTCCTTTCCCGTTCCCAGCACCTCTGCTCATCCTCAGCCTCTCGCTGCCACTCCCAACCTGATCTGCATCCTGACACCCCCGTCCCAGCTCCCGCTCTGGCTTGACTGCAGGGTGAGCCTGGGCCAGTTTCTGGCAGTACGCTGCCCCTCTCCTGGCCCCCTGCAGGACTGCCTCAGCCCCTCCCAGTGGGCTTCAGGGGCTCCCCTGAAGTCACTGCTCCCAGCCCTCAGCAAACCCGTTTGCTGTTGTAGGTTCTCAGTGATCAATTTAAGAAAAGGGATCCTTTGCTTTGACTACTGTGCAGACAAGAACTTCCTGGGTAAGTCATCTTCAAGTCACGCAGAAGCTACTGGTCTGGCACAACTGGGGTGAAGGTTCCCGGGGGTGTCGGGGGCAGCTGGGCCGAGAGGCCCTGCGGTGCTGACGGCCCTGTCCAGAGGCACGGGGTGGTGGTGATGCAGGCGCCACTTAGCCTGCTGGTGTGGGTGCGCAGGAGTGGCAGAGGGTAGAAGCGATACCCTCCCCTGCAAGCCTAGCTCGGGCCCTTGGCCACGGAGAAGGTCGGGGCTTAGCCCCGGGGGTTGATAAAAACACTTTTGACTGCAGTGACCGGTGGCTATGACTCCATCATCCGTCTGTGGAGCCCCTTCTCAAAAAAGCCAGTGTGGATGCTGAAGGGGCATCAGACGTCGGTGACCCACATCCTCATAAGCAGCGACAAGAATGGCATGCTCTTCAGCATCTCGAAGGACAAGGTGCTGCCCGTGGGGAGCCTGGCCCACCAGCCCCGGGCTGCTCCTGTCCGGCAAAGGTGGCGGCCTCAGGGCCGTGACCCAGAGGCTGACTGTGGCAGAGAGTGCTGTGGCCTCTCTACCTGTGGTCCACACCTGCCTGAGGCCTAGAGGGAGGTGGGCAGGTGGGAGCCGTGTGAGGTTTCCTGGGTCTCTGGCAGCCCGGTGTGAGCAGCCCACAGAGCCGGGTTCCCGTGTAGCCCAGTCTGGCTCCACACTACAGCCCTTCCCTTTCCTGAGCCTCAGTCTCCTCATCCATAGAATGGGTTGTTGAGCGGCTTAAAGGAGAACTGGCAGTAAGAGAACAGGGCCACGTCTGGCCCCTCCCTTCAGGTGAAACTCACTTCTTGACGTTCTAGTGAGATATTCTTGGGCGTTTGGGTTGTCAGGGCCCGAGTGGACCCTCCTTAAAGGGCCAGGATCCCCCATGCTCAAAGTCCCTGGTGTGGGGGTGCAGGTCAAGGGCTCAGATGCCCTCCCTCAGGGAACGAGGTCGTGTCTCCCAGGAACTCAGTAGATGGAGAGTTGTCAGGGCCCGTGGGCCACCCAAACCACCCTCCACCACACACCTTCACACTCACATTGTCTAGAATTCACCTAGCAGAGGGTCACCCTGTCTGCTGAAGGATCCCAGGCTGCAGCCGGGGACAGGCTTGCTGAGGCCCTCGCGGTCAGCACTGGGCACAGCCAGAATGTGGAATGGTGTCTGGTCCACTCCAGTCCGTGCCTCTGGGCAATGAGGGCCCTGGGAGACCCCCTGCCACAGGAGTGCCTAGGCCCAGCCCCTCCCCCGGGATGAACGTGAGGGCTACTCAGGACAGCTGGACCTTTTCAGCAACTGTGTTGGTTGGTGGCTGCTGTGTTCTGTGTGGCTTTACCTGGAGATGGGGGGTGGTGAGAGGGAAGCTGGTGAGGGTATTCAGGGGCTCGAGCTGCCACACTGGGGGCTCGTCCTCCGCTGTGGGGCAGCAGCTGCCTAGCAGGGTAGCAGCCGTGGGGCAGCGCTGGGGTGCAGCGCCCCTTGGCTCCTTCCTCTGAGCTCAGCAGCATTTCTGTCGGGGGGCTGTGGTGCGTGGCTGGCCCTCAGGCGGTGGGCTTGCTCAGCGCGCCCCCAGACCCCTCAGCCCGACCCCAGGCCCCTTAGCCTCCTGCATCCTGTTTCTGGCCCCCAGAACATCCGAGTGTGGGACCTGCAGGAGTACACGTGCCTGCAGGCCTTCAGCGGGAAGTTCTTTGCCCTGGGAAACTGCCCCATCACCAGCACCTACTTCCACAGGGCTGACCAGTCTCTCATCTGCAGCACCTTTTCGGTGAGTCTGGCTAGGGGAGACGGGGTCGCTAGTCCCACGGGACACCCACGGGTGGTCACATCCTGTCCCTTCCCGGACTGCTCTTCCATGAAGACAGAGCTGCTGGATCTGTGACCTGGCCCGCGAGACTTCCGCCTCTCGGCATTTCCTGGGAGACTTTCTAGGCCCCAGCCTGGCACCCTCTGTGCCTTGGCTTCTCTGGTCTTATGCCCTCCAGACTGTCCTCTGGGATGCCCAGGCTGGGGTAGGAGTGCCCCCTCGGGGCACCTCAGCTGTGACCCCTGGAAATGTCCTTCACGCCACCTGACTGTCTTTCTTGCCAAATCACAAACCGAGGAAGGCAAGGCCCAGCCCCTCTGAAGGAGGGAACGTGGAGCGGCTGATGTAAAAACTAGCCATGAGTTCTGACTCAGCTGGTGCCCAGGTGTGGTCTGGCTGGGCCTTGGAGTGCGGGGTGGACTGGGAAGAGCATGGGCAGCTGACTGACCAGGGTGGCAAGGGGACCCGTGACAAGATGGGAGCTGGAGAGATGCCAGGGTCATCGGCCACCGGCACAAGGCCAGATTCTCTTTGGGAAGGGGGAGCGCCCCCGAGATCCTGCGTGCGCCGTTGAGCAGGCCACTCGGCAAGCCCATGTGTGCTGCCCTTTGCTCCCCCCAGGCAGCAGGTTTGGAGAGGAGAGAGGTCTCCCGCATCTCTGCTGCGTGCTGGGCTGGCTGCCAGCTCTTGTTGAACAGAATGAAGCTTTGAAGTTCATTTTAGATTGTGAAGCAAAATCCCCTCCTGCTCTTTGTCTGGAGCGGACAGTGAGACACGCCCCCTGCAGGGTGGAAGAGCAGTTAACTGCAGGAGAAAATGTTCCCTGCTGTGATAGAGATGTATGTGCGATGCTTCCAGGAGAACACAGACAGGATCCTCACTCCAGGCCAAGGCAGGGGGCAGTCAGGGGATGCTTCCTGAAGGAGGAGGCACTGAATTGAGTCGCAAACTTCTAGTTATAAGAGGGACCCTGGGTGTAGACTTTGGAGGTTGAGCAACACGAGGCCTTAGGCCTTCTGATCTCAGGGTGTGGGACCCTGGACTTAGGAGTGGGGATGAGTGGCACCAGCAGGTGTAATGAAGACCTTGGGCTCAGGCCTACAGGTTGTCTTAGTTTGTTACCAGATTCTCCCTGAGTCTCTTGCAGAGGCTGTCTGACTGCCCGGTTCTTTGTCTCCTCAACTACAGATTGGGATCCTAATGGGGTACTTGGATCACCAGAGGCCCAGGAAGGTGGGGGAGAAGGCCAAGGTGGTCGGCAGGTACCTATGCACCTTCCTCTACAGCAAGATCTTTAGGCAGGTGAGTGGACTGGCGCTCGACTCTGAGACCGTAAGGGTGCCGGGTCCGAGTCGGTGGGTGGCCGAGGCAAGGACTGTAGCTTCGTCGGTGGTGAGGGGTGAGAAGCAGCTCTGCAGAGGGTGGGCCTGGGGTGAGGTCGAAGTGCCATCATGAGGCTGCAGGTCACTGGCTCCCCGGCCCCGCAGCCCCTGACCCTCTCTGGCTGGGAGCCTTCTCACATGGAGCGTGATGGAAACTGAGGTGTGGACTGCTCTCTGTGAGCTGGGTGCTGCCCTGAAGCATGCTGCAGGGAGGCCCTGGTGTGACTTTGCTCACAGTGGGAGGGGGCAGCTTGCCATCCTGAGCGGAGACCTCCGGGGTGGGTGGGGCCCTGGGCAATGGTCTCCCAGGTGTGGGGACACCTCCCTCGGGGCCCCTCTTTTGCACCTGTGGTACAGGGAATTGCCTCTCTGGGTTGCCTTCTCGTCCATGTCCCTATACCTCAGGGTCTTTGGAGGGTTGGTCTGGAATCACCTCACTCATTGCTGTTACATTTTAATGGTTGTGATGGCCACAAAATGTTGCAAGGGGAGCAGGAGGGGGGGGGGCTCCCTGATGGCACAAGGGGTAAAGTGTCAGCACTATGAAGCTATTAGCAGCCACTGCAGCATGAGTTCGATCCCCAGCCAGGGAGGTGACCCACATGGCACAGCAGACCTCGCCTGTTTTGTCCACTGCTCCCCTCAGCAGTGTATTTAAGTAGATCTGTCTGTTCTGCTCCCCACTCTGCCTCTGGTGAATCCTCTCAGCCCCCACCCCATCTCTGGCCTACACCCCAGCGCTTGTCTGCATAAATAAATAAATCTTTAAAAAAATTGTTGCACTGGGTGGGGCGCCCATGCTTTACACTCAACAGTGCCTGCTTATTGGGCGGCTAGAGTGTGTCCTGTTTCTATCCCCTCGTGAGTTGAAGGGAATTTCCCCAGTCTGCTCCTTCTAGAAGAGCTGCGGCCATTTGCTGCAGAACAGGGGAAGGCCTGTTTGCAAGAGGGCCTCACTGGCAGCAGCCGGCCCTGTCCACGTGTGGAGAGGGAGCCGGGCGGGCCCAGCCTGGCCTAGGAGGGGGCGCTGTCCTCCACGGGGACCCGAGCTCCCACTCCCTCGCAGGTGGTGATTGGCTGCCTGGACGGCCTGGTGACAGTGTGGGAGCTCGAGACCGGCAGGAGGATGATGGAGTTCTCTGTGACGGATGACCAGTCCATGGAGCTGACCGCCATGACCCTGGATGAGTCGGAGCGGTGTCTGCTCACCGGCTTCCGGGATGGCGCCCTGAAGATGTGGAACTACAATCTCGGGGAGTGCCTGCTGACCTTCCCCAACCCGGAGGGCATGGAGGTGAGTCTGGCCCATCAGTGGGCAGGGGCTCGAGGGGAGAGCCCTTCCCACACCTCCTGCACGTCTGCAGGGAGACTCCCTGGCTTAGGCCTCCTGAGCCTGCTGTCCTGCACAGCGCCTGTCCCTGGCGACCTGTCCCTGGTGTTAGCTACGCTCGCTCCTTTAGTTTGCTCCCACTTAGCCTGCGCGTGAGAGCTTCTTGTCGCGTGTCCCTATTTGGGAAGTGTCTGGGCAGGCTTCGGGGGCCTCTCC